AAATAATGCGACCGCAAAATGGGAAAGTCTTACATGTCTGTTTATGAATTATTGGTAGGGTGTTGTCTGTGTGCCTATTTAAACATACAACATAAGCCAATTTTCCTAACTAATTCATTTTAGTTTTATTTTAAAAATACTTAATATATTCTTATCATAGTCAAAATTTTATGTTTAAGATAAATGCCTATTTCTTAGTTCAAGCTATCAAAATCTCAAACAGTGGTCGCGGCAACCGAAACGGGAGATTTGCGCTACGTTCGACAATTATCAAACATTACCTCTAAGGTTTCAAATACGAACATATTTTATGTCTTTCCTTAGATGTTTAGGTTTAATTACTTCCGATTATGATACTAGAGATGTAATGGCTTCGGCTTGACTGCGATGGCGCTTGAAACCGGATTCCACGTACTAATTGCTGAGCCAAATTTTAGCGCAACGTCCAACCCAGCGCCTTACCTTAATAATGAGAGCTCATTTACTGTATCGCCTAATGCAGAGCCTAAGTCCGCGACAGCGGATTCGAATATTTCCAGTAGGTTTTATCATTCTGATCAAATACTTCTAGATTCTAATGATTCCGGGAAGAAAAACTTTGGGAAATATAGATTACTCAGGACAATTGGCAAGGGAAATTTCGCGAAAGTTAAGTTGGCAGTTCATTTGGCTACTGGTGTTGAGGTACGCACACATTCACTTCTGCATTGCATAGGTTGCGATCAAAATCATAAACAAGACGCTGATGGATGCTACACTTTTTGAGAGAGTAATTATTTTTTTATTTTAATAGATCTAGTTAAAAAGAGAAATTACTATAATGAAAACAACTAGCCATCCGAATATCGGTACATATATATTTTATCTGCTTATTATTTATCAGTCAAACTGCTAGAAATAATTGAAAACGAAGACGTTCTCTGTCTAGTGATGGAATATGCCAGCGGGGGTAAATGATTTATTTTTGATGTCATATTCAGGTGAAATTTTTGATTATTTGGTTGCACATGGGAGAATGAGAGAGAAAGAAGCTAGAATTAAATTTCGTCAGTTAATTTCAGCAATTAACTATTGCCATTCTAAGCGCATTGCCCACAGAGACCTTAAAGCTGAAAATATTCTTCTTGATGGAAACTTGAACGTCAAAGTAGCAGACTTTGGCCTAGCAAATACCTTCGAGCCAAATCAGCGCCTCACAACCTTCTGTGGAAGTCCACCGTATGCCGCTCCCGAATTATTTTTGGTAAATATTCTCTCATTGCTAGTTAATTTATATTTTTTGCAACTCATCTTATTAGTGTTACCCATTTTTATACAATACTGGGTATATTGTCTTATAGGGGATACCCTATTACGGTCCTGGAGTAGACATCTGGTCGCTCGGTGTTATACTTTTTACCTTGGTACTGGGTCAATTGCCGTTTGATGCCAATGATCTGAAGGAGTTAAGAGCCAAAATCCTGAATGTACAATATAATATTCCTAAAGGCGCTATTTCTACGGAATGCGAGCAGTTGATTAGAAAGATGCTTGTCCTTGACCCTAAAAAGAGGTACTCCTTAAAGGTAACTTTACATTAATTACTAGATACTTATTGTAATTCATATTGTCCTATATATTGTTGGCAAATTTCTAATAATGTTGAAAAATTCACTTGTATTTTTATTAAATAGTTCCTTGATTTTATGGTATAATTTCTCAATTATGCTCGATCTAATTATTTCATCTTACATTCT